CGACCGTGAGCGGAGGCATCATTTTAGACAAATTTTATCTAAAAGTTTACCCCTGACGCTGGACAGTGTCATTGGTAATGGTGACACTGTCCGATTAGATTGTATTTTTAATTTTTTACACACTATAGGTATTTTTAATTCTGTATAAATCTTTTATCGACATGTATTGGTTTTAACTCGTTGTATTTTTACATTTTACATTAATTTACTTTTTTTGTTTTTACCAGTTGTTTGGCGCAGATAGTCTTGCTGCTTTGCGCCATAAAACACCAACGAAGCAAGTCACAATAGCCCACATTTTACTGTTGTGCCGTCATTACAACTGTGAGCGGCAGCACCATTTTAGACACGTTTTCTAACAGTTTACCCCTGACATTGGACAGTGTCATTGGTAATGGTGACAATGTCTGATTAGATTGTATTTTTAATTTTTTACACACTATAGGTCTTTTTAATTATATATAAATCTTTTATCGCCATGTATTGGTTTTAACTCACTGTAGTTTTACATTTTACATTAATTTACTTTCATTGTTTTTACCAGTTGTTTGGCACAGATAGCCTCGCTGCTTTGCGCCATAAAGCACCAAACAAACAACCAGAACTGTAAACTGTCAGACTACAAAGAAATTTGTTAATATTTTCTCATTAGGAAAGTTTATAATATTTATACAGTTAAAAGAACAATTATCAAACTAGGTTGCTTAACTGAAATTCGTCAGATATCACAAAGGAAGAGAGCCAACATGCATGTACAGATTCAACCAGAAATAAAATATTTATTACCGTGCAAGAAACAACAGACGTTTTTGTAAAAGTTTTTTTTTCAATAAAATACCCAAGCCAGATCTCGAATCTTTTTTATACTTATTTCATGAAAAAATTAAACATAAACTTAAAATTCAAAAGAATGAAACTTGTCTAATTTCTGGAATAAAAAAAAGATCTTAAATGTTGGATGTTTTTTAATGGTCCAAAGATCAGAAAATTACTTTTCAGCACATAAGTTATCCATACACTTCGAGTCCAAAATAGACCCCTGATGTTATCATAAGCTAAAACACTACCATTTCCTGCTATGTCATTATACACTACACGAAGTCAAAATGTAAGATATTTTCAAACAGCTACTATTGTACATTGATTTCTTGCAAGACACTGATTTAGTACCAACCTCTGATATTATGTAAGTTTAACCTTGCAGTCTGCTCATTTCAACAACATATGAAAAGATCAATGGGTGAGAACAAGCAAAGGGAATTAGTTGAAATAGTTTGAGTCCAATGCTCAATTGAAAGTTAAAAGCTCTGTGTCCCATATCTCTCTTTTATATATATATATATATATGTTTATTTATTTGACAAATACGATGCCCTTAAATTATACAGTAACTGAGCCAAAATGAGTAGTAATTTACTTTATTCATTTAAAAAAAAATACAACCTAATTTTTTATCTTTAAATTTGTGTACATCTATAAATTCTTATAAGAAATCAATGGAATAGTTAAATAACTAACATTTGTAATTAGTATTGACTTTATCTCTGTCTTCTTTACTGACCCTCTGTAGGGTCTGATATTACGATCTGTAAAGAACATCACCAAATTCAGAGCACTGAAAGGGTTGAAAATAATGGATGGATTTAAGCAACCAGTCCTTCTTCACTAAATAATTTCATTAAGAAAAATACATGAAAATATAATACGTTCTTGGCTTATACACGCCAAAATAAAGAAAACTAAATTATGTATAGAAAGAAAAACAACTACCATTTTACACCAAAATCACATTTCATAGTTTTACAGTGTTAATGTAGAAGTGTACTGGATGTTACAAAAATAAGTCCACTTTTCTTCTGATTAACAATGAAGAAACACCAAAAATATTGGACAAGCCGTCTCTGTTAGCCAAATAAAGAGTGAATGTAGCATGTTACTGATGCTTTCCGATGAAAAACCGACTAGCAAGCAGATTCTCTGTGAAAGTCGCTTGTTTTTCTTCATTATTAAGATACATTACTCATTCTTGACACGGTTCTTTTTCATATCATCTGTCTTGTTAAACCTGACAAACATATGGAGGTTAAAAAAAAGCATCCACACTCATTACTATACACAACTGGCTAGTTTAGGTACGTAGGAAACTTCACCAAAAGGCTGCTTGAAATTTCAGAACATAACCTCATAAAGAGTAGCTTTCTTGTCACCAGATCCTGTGACAATATACTTGTCATCTGATGAAATGTCACAGGTCAGCACCGAAGAAACTTCTTTAGACTGAGGAGAAAAAAAAAAAATCTCTAGTAGAGTTTAAATCAGAACAAGATGCTTTAGAGATCACATCTTGCTAAGCACAATCTGTCAAAATCATTTATACACTTTTGTTTTTTTTCAAGTTTGGAAACGAAAACACTCACCTGAAAGATACTAGCTCCATAAGGTGTTATCCAGGCATTTAAAAGGTTATCCTTTCCGGTGCTGACAAACCATTTTCCACAAGAGGCAAACTTTAAGGATAACACACAACTTTCATGTAGGTGTAACTGGTACTTATCGGGTTTGGAACAATGGAGTACCTCCACATTACTGTTTTCCATACTAAAATCAAGCAAAATGAACAGTTGTTACATAAAGGTAAAGCAATTCAATATATTACCAACAACATCACAAAAATAACAACCAATTAAAACTACGGTCAATCAAAAGATTAAGTAACACATTGTTACTTTACCTAGAATCTTGATTTCTTATTGAAGTCTTTCATAAAAACAATCAACCAAATCTTTTCCCAACCAATCAGGCTTTGTTGTTTAATATTATGTAAAAAATATCCAAAGCAGCAATTCATTATTTCAAATACTTTGTTTAATTATATTTTCTGTCAGTTAGTATAATTGTCTGCAAGTTTTCGACTTCAAAATTCAATCCTGACCTCTTACAAGTTTTAATGATTTACTTATTTTCACTGTTAATAATGCTACAAAGAAACAAGCTTACCCCACTGCAAGCCAATCTCCTGTGGGGCAATAGCCAAGGGAGAAGATCTGGGATGTAAAGTCGTGTTGATGAAGCTGACGGCCCTGTAATTATATATACACACACATATCTAAATATATACATAGATGTAAAGTCGAGTTGGTGAAGCTGACGACCCTGTAATTATACACACACACATCTAAATATATACATAGATGTAAAGTCGTGTTGATGAAGCTGATGGCCCTGTAATTACACACACATATCTAAATATATACATAGATATGTATATATGAGGTTCAAATAATAAATGGCTTTGTTTGAATTTCCTTACCAACCTATCTCAATGAGGATCAAATAATAAATGGCTTTCTTTAATTTCCTTACCAACCTATCTCAATGAGGTTCAAATAATAAATGGCTTTGTTTGAATTTCCTTACCAACCTATCTCAATGAGGTTCAAATAATAAATGGCTTTGTTTGAATTTCTTACTAATTTACCTCCCTCAAATCCCAGGAACGGACTGTATTATCTAATCCTCCTGTCCAGAGGTTAGTTCCATCATTTGATATATCTATACAACTAGCGCCATCTGTGTGGCCCTGGAACTGTCTGTTAACAGAAGAAAAGTAAACATTTTTCTTTTATTAATTGTTTCAACTTAGAGTCAAGACAAACTGTATTAACACCAAACACAAAAGTATTATTAATATTAACAGTCCATCTATAGTTTTAATCAGTTTTACAAAGTATCATACCAACTGTACATAACTGACAAAAGTATTATTAATATTAACAGTCCATCTATAGTTTTAATCAGTATCATACCAACTGTACATACCTGACAAAAGTATTATTAATATTAACAATCCATCTATAGTTTTAATCAGTATCATACCAACTGTACATACCTGACAAAAGTATTAATACTATTAACAGTCCATCT